GAATACGAATGAAAAAAAGAAAAAATAACAAGGAAGAAAAGAGAAATAAGAGAGAAGGAAAAAGAAATTAAGATAGAAATAAATAAAAAAATGGGGGGAATGTGGGGTATATGCAATTCTTCTATATTATATTATTTTGGTAATTTGGTTGTTCATGCACAGTTCTTGGTTTCACATATGTTGAAGTTGTGGAAGAGCGAGAAGAAAGGGAGAAAGAAAGAGAAAAAAAAGTCTCTCAGAACACTGTTTTCCTTGCTTCCAGTAGGTGGCGTTGTCTTTTCCTAGCTTGAGCCTCTGTATTCAAGGTGGTGGGTATAGCCAGTGTGGAAGGAAATGAGCTTCCACCTGTATCTTCCCTACTCTAGTCTCTGAGGTAGAAACCAGGTGCCTGTACAGTTGTTGTTTTGCATTGATAGCTACAACCCCCAAAAGCTTGTGGAAAATATTTTGAGCTATTGCAGCTAAGGGTGGGGGAGTTGGAAACCAGGTACCTGGATTAGCCACAGAACCGTGCTGGTAGCCACACCCACTTTGATGGGTTTTAAGGGTTGATGGGCTTCCTCCGGACTAGCACGCGGGGCAGGGCTGGGCTTCCTCCTCTGGTCTGGCTTGATTATTTTATTTTTTTCTCTTTCTTTCTTTTATGGTTCAAGAGATTGAACCCAGGAGCACTTTACCATTTAGCCACATCCCCAGCACATTTTATTATTTTTATTTTGAATTAAGTTGCTTAGGGCCTCACCAATTTGCTGAGACTAGCCTCGAACTTGTGATCTTCCTGCCTCAGCTGCCTGAGTCGCTGGAATTATAGGTATGTGCCACCATGCCCACTTGTCATAGATTCTTTTCTTGTGGAGTCAAATTTCCTTTTTTAAAAAATATTTTTTAGTGTTGATGGACCTTTATTTTATTCATTTATTTATACATGGTGCTGAGAATTGAACCCAGAGCCTCACACATATGAGGCAAGCATTCTACCACTGAGCCAAATGGGTTGTTGGGAAATCATTGGGAGCATTTTAAAGTATCTAATGTGTGCAGAGGTCTTTTACCCTGTACTGGGATTGGAGAAAAAGAAACAGAGGAGAGATGGAAGCATCTAGAGGTAGATGACAGTAAGGGAGTAAGTTGCTTGACACTGAGAATATGGGCTGTGATTTTTGGTCAATACCATGATCATAGAGTGAGGGGTTGAAGTAAAGAGAAGGAATTGAGGCTGAGAGGCCAGGATATGAGAAATATCATTTATACAGATAATGGAAATATTACTAAGAGTTGTGAGAAAGGTGTTGGCAAGGCTAACAATGAGGTAGGAGATAAATCTGCAAGGAATTGAGAAAGATAACTGAGAGGTCTCTAGATGTCTACAACAGGACAAGCTCTAGCTGTTGGATGGCCAGGAAACAGCTGAATTCAATTTGTTACCATTGAAAACTTGATATCATTATACCAATTTAAACAACCTTTTTAGTGCTGGGCAAACAGACTAAAGTTTTGAGCATGCTAACCAAGCATTTTACCATTGATCTACACCCCCAGCCCTTTTATTTATTTTAAAATTTTGGAGACAAGGTTTTGCCAAGTTGCCCAGGCTGGCCTCAAACTTGTGACTCTCCTGCCACAGCCTCCTGAATAGCTGGGTGTGCCATTCCACTCAATAGGATTTACATTCTTTGACTATGTCAGATTGGCTGTTAGATCTCTGGCAATGGACCAACTAGAAGGCAGTTCCTCTAGAACATGTGATCCTTAGCATGCTGTGGGAGAGAATGACTGAGTGTTTCATAGTGGAAGAGGCTTTGTGTGGGGAAGAACAGAATGAGCCTGGAAAGACAGGGAGAGGCTTGGTGTGGAGATGGAGAAGAAATCCTGTTTTCTGAGCTGGGCCTGGTGGTACAGGCCTGGAATCCCAGAGGCATGGGAAGCCCTTTCTTTCTTTCTTTCTATGGTGATGAAGTTCCTGTTTTCTTTGGTATTTCATTTTTAAAATGAATCCAGTTTTGCAGGACTTCTAAGTTTTGGTGATCTGGTCCTGTAGGATAGATTTGGCAGGTTTAGAATGCACCAGAATTTTACTGTCCAGTAGGGTGGCTACTAGCCACAAGTCGCCATCTAAATTTAATTAAATTTAAATTTTAATTAAAAATTTAAAAATCAGCTGCCCAGTCATCAGTAGCCACATTTTGGTATGGCTCTTGGTTATCATATTGGAAAATGCATGTATAGAACATTTTCATAACTGTGGAAAGTTCTGGTAGACTGGAGCCTTTCTAGGCATTAATGAATTATTTGAGTTTATTATGGTGTCTTGCTAAAAAGAATTGTCCTTTATAGCTAGTGTTTAGAACCTTGATGGCCTTATTCATATTCTTAAGAGCCTTTTCCCTACCAAGGTGACTGTCCCTGCCTTGATGACTCATGCTTGTAATCCCAGTGATATGGGAGGCTGAGGCAGATGAATTGAAAGTTCAAAGCCAGCCATGGTGACTTGGCAAAATCCTGTCAAAACAAAAACAAAAACAAAACAAAATATCTTATCCCTGCATTTCAGGACTTGCCATCTGTTTGGCACACAAGGCGAATACATGTGCAAGGGATATAAAAATGTTAGACCCAGCATCCAAAATGAACATGCAGAAGAAAAGGATGGATCTGGAGTTAGGGGAATGAGTGTGTATATTGTTCCATGATACAGTATCACAGCTAATTTTGAAATAATTTGAAG